TCCTCAGTCAGGAAGCTCTTTACCCAGGAATACTCGACTTACTCTCTTGGCTTCCTCAAGTCGAGTGTCAATTTCCCAGTTAGCCCTTTCCCACCACTGTGTATAAAAATAATAACAGCCTCATCCCCATCTTTGGCATTAATCACCTCCTAAATTACATGCCATTTCCTTTGCCTAGCATAGCCAGGCACCCAGCAAATATTTGTTAAATAAATATGTGTCAAATAAAAGCTGCTTGTCTTATTAGTATGTCATTGTAACGACCAGAGTTTTCAGCCTTCAGCTCTCTGCTGCCCTAGCTCTCATCAAATACTGACAGAAATAGAGATATTGAGATTATATCACCTGAAGATAGTTCATTTGTCATTTACCTGAGCATGAAGATCCTATCTCTAGAAACTGCTGCACATTTAGGCATGAGTTTATTGCCTAGGGCCCAGTAAAAATTCTGTGACCAAGGTGTATAAGGAGAAAGAGAAGCTACCCTTGTAGAAGTAGGCCAGGTTGACCTGACCAACAGATGAGTCGTGGAGCATGGCACCATGAATGTTAGACACACTGTGTGAGGTTGAGCATTTTCTCTACGAGAACCCTGCATCTGCTTCTAGTGTTAAGATGCTCTGATGTCCCCCTGTGCTGGGGCTTGGGGACTTCACCTGGTTAGATTTTATTCTAGAAACAAAAACAAAATACACCTTTTCATATCTACAATATCAGAAATCAATTCATACCTATTTGTTGTGGGATAACCCTTCTGTGTGCTGTGAATATATGTTGCTCTCAATGGTTGATAATAAAAGCTGCTTTGGCCTATAGCAAGGCAGAATATAGCTAGGTGGGAGAGCCAAACTGAATACAGGGAGGAAAAAAAAAGGTGGAGTCGAGGGAGATGCCAGAAAACCAGTAAAAGCCATGACCATGTAGCAATACATAGATTAATAGAAATGGGTTAATTTAAATGTAAGAGCTAGTTAGTAACAAGCCTGAACTATAGGCCAAGGAGTTTGTAGCTAATATTAAGCCTCAGAGTGATTATTTAGAAGCAGTTGCAGGACGGGGAGGGACAGAGAAACCCCCGTTTATACTCATGGAAAGCCCCAGCAAAATATCTGGCAATGAAAAAACATAGACTGAATCTGCTTTTACTACTTGTAGACTCAACAAATAATCACGAACTACCCCCAAAGCAGCACTGGCCTAAGTGCAGGGATGTGAGAGAAGAGAGGATCCTAAACCTACATCTACATGGGGCTCATGTTATAGTGTGCATGTGTGAGGGAGATAAACACAGTGAAATAACTAAAACTATACAGTGTTAAAAGCTGGTCTGTCCTAGAAAGGGAAAGCTAGCAAGGGATGGTACTCAAAGGAGGTGTGGGGAAGGATGGCCAAAGGAGCATATATGTTGCTCTCAATGGTTGATAATAAAAGCTGCTTTGGCCTATAGCCAGGCAGAATATAGCTAGGTGGGAGAGCCAAACTGAATACAGGGAGGGAAAAAAAGGTGGAGTCGAGGGAGATGCCAGAAGACCAGTAAAAGCCATGACCATGTAGCAATACATAGATTAATAGAAATGGGTTAATTTAAATGTAAGAGCTAGTTAGTAACAAGCCTGAACTATAGGCCAAGGAGTTTGTAGCTAATATTAAGCCTCAGAGTGATTATTTAGAAGCAGTTGCAGGACAGAGAAACCTCCGTTTATACTCATGGAAAGCCCCAGCAAAATACCTGGCAATGAAAAAACATAGACTGAATCTGCTTTTACTACTTGTAGATTCAACAAATAATCACGAACTACCCCCAAAGCAGCACTGGCCTAAGTGCAGGGATGTGGGAGAAGAGAGGATCCTAAACCTACATCTACATGGGGCTCTTGTTGTAGTGTGCATGTGTGAGGGAGATAAACACAGTGAAATAACTAAAACTAAACAGTGTTAAAAGCTGGTCTGTCCTAGAAAGGGAAAGCTAGAAAGGGATGGTACTCAAAGGAGGTGTGGGGAAGGATGGCCAAAGGAGACAGACAGTTGTAGTCTGAGGGAGATCCTTGTGCCATTCCAAGTGACACCTTGATGAGGAAGGTAGAAAATCATCTACAAAAATGCTTCTCAACCTGTGGGTCGGGATCCCTTTTGGTGGGGGAGTGCTTGCAATATATATCCTGCAGATCAGATATTTAGATTCATAACATTACAAAATTACGGTTATGAAGTAGCAATGGAATAATTTTATGGTTGGGGGTCACCATAACATGAGGAACTGTATTACAGGGTTGGAGCATTAGGAAGGTTGAGAACCACTGATGTAGAAGAGAGTTAGGCAGAAGAGAGTTAGGCAGAAGGAAGCAGGTGTGTAGCAGAGCCAGGCTGGAACCAATCACAGTGGGGAGGTGGGATAGGAATTAACCTGGGAGTTTCTCAAGCGGTTCCGGTGGTGGTAGCTATGCTATCTGCATCTCAATGGCCCTGTTTCTGCTGTTCTCAAGGAAGCAACCTGCTGCTGTGCACCAGTGTCACAACTTTGGCTTTGACTCTTGCAGAAACAGGGAAGGCTTTTTATCTAATTTCAACAGTTTTATTGGATAAGAGCAGATTCTTCTTTCTTTCAGTAAACGTATGTAATTGTGCTGCCTTGGTCCCCATCCAAGAGCCATTTCATTAACGCGAAGAACCCTGCTCTCATCCTTAGCAAGACTTCCCATTCACTGTCTATCTTTATGCTTGGAGGGGAGGCAGGGGGGCTTCAAGCAGGAAACAATGGGAGTCTGGTTTTATGTCCTTTCTGTTGCCACAGAGTAAAGTTCTCATTCCAGTTTTAGGTTGTTGACCTGAATTCCAGGAAGCAAATGTCCCAGTCCTGAGGAGACAGAGTCCAGGTCAGGGTTTAGTCCTGCAGACACTGAGCCAGAGGGAAACTGGCAGAGAGCCACTCTCACTGGTTCACAAAGTCCTGTCCAGTTGGGAGTTGAAGCTGTATGATCCCTGCTGTCTTCTAAGGCTTTTCTCTCCAGGCTGTATTTGGGGCTAAAGCTCCTGGTCAGAAGCCTTCCTTCTTTAGCCTCTGGGTCAACTTCTCACGAGCCTTCAGGTCTGCCCTGCTGCTGAAGAGGAATACTATGCCTTGTGTGTGCCTCAGATTTTAAAATAAGGTAACTGAGCAAGAAATCCTTCACTGGCAAGTGTCACCTGCCTAGAGGTCTTGGTGATTAAATCAAGGATAGGCACAGCATAAACTGACCTTAGGAAGGTGTAGGGAAAGGCCTGGAGTCTCTGGAGATCGGCCACCAAGGAGGGAAGAGCCAAAGGAAAAGGCAAAATGCAAGGGAGGTGTCAGGGACCGGTAGGCGGCAACCCCAGGGTTAGCAGCTGTGACAGAGGCTAAACCCAGGCTTTCCTGGAAAGTGAGGCTTGAGAGTCACTTTTCCTCTCTTTGGGAAAGTACCATTCTCACCAGCATTGTCATGGGACTTAATGAAAAGCTTTTTTATACTTTTATTGTTGGTTAACCATATGCTATTATACATAATAACGGGCTTCACACAACTTTTCTAGACAGGTATAAAATGCATTTCCATCATGATCATCCCCCATCACTACCTTTTGTCCCTTTCCACCCCCACAGATCCCCTTCTTCTTTTTAACGATTCCCTCTGACATTCTTGTTCTTTTAAGTTATTATTTCTGGAACCCAGAGCATTTATAAAAGGTTGCTTACTGGACCATGAATGGTTAGTGTCAGGAGTGTGGGCAATGTATACGTGGGTGTGAAATAATGTATTTAGTTGTTTTTTTTTTTTTTTCTATGTGCTCTGTGCACAGTCAATCAGTGCTTGTAGGGATGGGTTTCTCCTGTTGTTGAAACACATGGTGATTGTTTTACTGTTGCCCTGTTCTGTTATTACTAGAGGAACTTGGCCCAATGGACTGAAGCTGGGAGCATCCCCAGGCCACAGAAATATCTGGGATCTCATGAATGTACAGAGTCACATGCACTCACGGATGGGAGTTGACAGTCTACATCTGTCACAGAGTCTGGAGACCACTCATGCTCCAAGGCCCATACTCTGAGAAGCAAGGGCCTAAAACAGCCCTGCCCTGTTCATGCCACTGCCCTCTGGCAGCTCCTGGCACCTGACACACAACTGACCTAAACCTAGCTGTGCATGGTAGTGTGAAGTGCACATTGCATTTGCAGTCTTGGTACAAGGGATAATGTTATTCACGTGCCTGGTTAAGTAAGAGATACTATTCTAATTAATGCCCCGTGTTTCTTTCTAGTTTTCTGCATCTAGTGGTAGAAAGCTGTGAGTTGCATGTGTGGTTAGTAATTTGTCTCTACTGAGCAGTGTCGGGCTGTTTGAGGTGACAGCTATGTTAATCACACTGACCTACTATCACACATGCACAAATTAGCTGGAATGTCACAGTGTGCTCCCTAAATCTGTGTAATCATAAATCAATTAAGATAGTTAAAATGTGTGTGAAGGGGCTAGGGAGATAATTTAGTCAATAAAGTGCTTACACTTCAAGTTAGTCCCTGGAATCTCCATAGAAGGGCTGGAGATGGGTGGATTCCTAGGGTGTGCTGGTTAGACATCCTAGCCTAACAGCCAAAATTTTCCTCTGGCTTCCACATATACATTATACATGTACCTGAACACATATGTGCACCTGAACACATATACACAATCCATACACACAAACATACAATTTGCACATTAAAATTTTTTAATACAGTAGCAAAATTACTGTTATTGGGGATCCCTTTGAAGCCATGGGTTTTGAGAAGTGGGCTCTGAACAGATGACCTCAGATACACGCAGACTCCCACACACAGGGAGAGGTAGGAGAGTACTTCTGATTCAGAGAAGAGACTAGCAATGTCAGCAGAATGAAGCCGATTATGTATCCTATAGCCAATATGAGCTATGCTACCCTCAGAGCTGGCACCTTCAGAATCCTTCAGTCTTTCCTCTGGTGACAGACAGGAGGCGACAGAAGACATGAGGTTCTGGCGGAGAGGCTTGGTCCTCCAGGCTCTGAAGAGTTCCTGGGGCATCTGTAGGATTCACAGGCAGCCACCACCTCCACCTGTCCCCAAGGTCGTGGCCACCTGGGAAGCCATCAGCCTGGGGAAGCAGCCGGTACCTGAGTACTTCAACTTTGCTCATGATGTGCTGGATGAGTGGAGTCGGCTGGAAAAGGTGAGCCCCACCCTGCCCTGGTGTCCCTTGAGGGCATCTGAAGTTCCTCAGACACTGCAGTGAGATTCAAGACTGCAAGACAGTGCATTTCACATTATGACCTGAGAACCTGGCAAGTTTTAAAACTCAAACTGATGGCACGCAAGCCTGCGGGGAACAAACCTGATCCAGGCCATGTGGACCAGGTTCATCTTGCACAGTGTCACTGGTTCCTGAGCCCAAACCACACAAGACAACCATACTTCATCCTCCTGCTATGGTCTGATGAGAAGGGGAAGGGGTCTGCTCCGATACTGTCTCTCACTTCCACACACTTCCCTTCTGAGCAGGATCAAAGCTAGAAGTGAGCAAAAAACAACCAAAAAGTTCTGATTCATTGTGTGTTTTATCTACACACACTTCTTTACTTTCTCTTCTATACATGCCTATTATGGGTATCACTTTGTATTATATTGATACCAATGGCTTATTGGTAATGTGAAAATATAAATTTTGATTCCAAAGAAACTTCAGGGTTAATTTTGTTTGTTTGCTATAAAAAACAAAAACAAACAACAAGCAAACAAAAAACAGGTCAATGTAGCCCTCACTATCCTGTAACTTGTTCTGTTATATAGATCAGAGGGACCTTGAACTCACAGAGATCTGCCTGCCTGTCTCCGGAGTGTGTTTCTTTATTTTTGAGATTGTCTTATTCTGAAATTCTGTCTGGCCTAGAGCTATAGCCAACTGTGGTTCAACCTGACCTTGAACTCATGGCAAGCCTCCTGCCTCACTCCCAGGTGCTATGATTACAGGCACAATCTACTATTCCTATCTCATTTGTGTTTCTTTTAACCTTGTCGATTCTGCCACCACTTAATACAAGAATACGACACTGCCACTGAAGATGGTAAACTGGTAGGGCAGAGTGAGGATGGATGAGATGCAAGCAGCCTTTGCAGTCACCAGGCATGCATCATCCACATATTTAAGTGTGAACTTGGGCAAGTTCCCTGAGATCTCTGGGCCTTGGTGTTCTCATCTGATACTAGGGTTCCAGGCATCAGCTACCCCAAGCTGTAGTGAGCATTAAATGAGAAGTGTATGTGACTCACAGGCATAATCCTCCATCCTTAGCTATCTGCAAAGAGTAAATGCTTTTTTTTTTCCATTCTAGATGAGTTTCCCTTTTTTCTTCCCCTTCTTTGCATTTCTTTTCCAATGTTGGGAATGAAGTCCAGACCCTTTGGACATGTTAGGCCAATGTTTCATCTAGTTTCTGAATTTGGAGTTTTGTTTTTGGCATTTTTTTTGTTTTCTTTGAGACAGAACTTTAGCTATATGGCTTAACTTCCTATTTGCTGAGGTTAAAGTTATTTGTCACAATATCTGACCTCTTTGAGGTCTTCTGATGATGAAAACAAAAGATGCAAGAGTAAGTCATAAAAATGAAATGGGGTTTTCCAAAGTTCTCAGCTTCATGAAAGCCAGTGATGAGGACAACACTGAAAAGGACTAAGAATAGCAGCTTCAGAAGTAGCAGAGCCCTGGCAACCCAGTGTTTATTGCAGCCATTGCTGAGCCTCGGTATTTTAAGCTTCTCTGGTCCTGACCCAACTTTCTAGCTGCCCAGAAGCCATGGAAAGCAGTAGTGCTTGTCCCCAGTAGAGCCTGGCAGCCTCTGAAGGCAAAGAAAGAATGGCGCCAGACCTTTTTCAAAGCTTCATTTCCAAAGAATTACCATTATTTGGTGTCACTGCCATCTTTTTCTTTTATTTTTGAGATCATGATATAGTTACATGTTCTCTCCCTTCCCTCCAAACTTGCTCTCTCCCTTCCCTCCATCCTTGCTCTCTTCCAAACTCATGTCCTCTCTTTTCATTGTTACATGCATCTATGTATATGTATGTACACACACTATATATATTCCTAAATATAAACTTCTCCATCTACATAATGTTACTTGTATGTATATACATATGTATGTATGTGGTGACCACCAGTTGACTTGTTATTTTTTCAAGGCTGTCTAGAGTTGGCACAGCTTGGAACTTAACCAGAAAAAAAAGTCTATTTCCAGGAAGGCATCTGTCAAAAAATGTAGGCAATTAGTTTAACTTTGTGATTGTAAGAAGCAGATGAAGTGTTAGATGCCTACATGGGAAAAGAAAAATAAACCAAAAGCTAGTAGAGTAACCAAGAAGCTAAAGAAAAGAAAGACTATGGACTGAGAAATGCACATGGGCTTTGAAAGCCTCCTGTACACTCCTAAGCATCTCAGAAACTGTGTGTTAGAGCCACAAGCAGCACCTGGGTCTTGCATGTGCCCGAAAAAGATCTGACAAGGCCCTGGGCAGGCTCTCGGGGTTTATGGCCTTGTCCACTTCCAGTTTGCTTTCTCTGTGCAGTTAGGTGATCTCCCAGCTTCCTGTTCCTGTCACTGTGCCTTCCCTACCATCATAGACATCTAGTTCTCTAGAGTTTTAAGTCAAAACAAATTCTTAAGTTGCCTTTGGTCATGGCAACAATAAATAATACAGCTATACAACCTTGTGGGACTATACTAAAAAGCAATGTGTTGTGTACTTTATGTGGTAATTAGTAGGTGATGTGAGTAATGTTTTTAATTAAACAGGAAAGGACACAAGACAGCATAAATCATCTTACCTTTTATGTCAAAAAATTGGTATGGAAAATTTGCTTATATTTGCCTAAACTCAACACTGTGAGAATGTGTAAGTAACAAATAAAACTGGCCATTATCTTAAGTACAAGGAAGGGACCAGCCCTTGGGTTTTGTGTTTGGCTGGTTTGCTTTTAGTTTTATGAGGGAGGGTCTCATGTAGACACAGCTGGACTTAAACTCACTGTGCAGTCAAAGATGGTGTTGAATTTCTGATCCTCTTGTTTTTACCTCCTAAGTACTGGGGTTACAGGCATGTGGGGTTACACAACACCTGGTTTATTCATTGATGGGAATTGAACCCAGGACTTTGTTCATGCTGAGTCATACTCAACTGTGTCATACCATAATTGTGATTTCTTTTTTTTCCGAGATAGGGTTTCTCTGTGTAGCTTTGCAGACTAGGCTGGCCTTGAACTCACAGAGAACTGCCTGCTTCTGCTTCCTGAGTGCTGTGATTAAAGGCATGTGCCACTACTGCCAGGTTTCATAATTTTGATTTTTGAACTCTGTGAACACAGCTATTATAAAAATTTGTTTTCCAGC